TAGAAAGTGTTTACGGGGTCGAGTTGCTAGCTTTACATCCAACTGGTTTTGAATTGAGAATGTCCTTTTTTAGACTGGTTGTCAAGCAAAGTGAGAGAGTTCGATCTACTATAAGACTGTCGAGAAAATAATGTCTGATTTTAGAATGAAACTTTTGTGTACTAATATATTAATATAATAGTAGCAAAAAATATATTCTGCTCATTTCTAATGATTAATGTGTCCTCTTTGTTAATGTTATATCCATGTTTTTGCGAATTTAACTTCAAATATTATATACCCATCATCTTGAACATGAAAAAAGAAGAGAAGACTTTTTTTGCAGGTGTTCGAGTTTGCTCATAAGGTTGCCAACATTAACAGAGCATGATGTGAACAATCCACTTGTGATCGAACAGGAAGATACGGGTGTCTGAAGTTCCGCAGTGGGGATACGAGTCTTGAAGATCAAGGTGGTAGAGGACGTCCATCTGGAGTAGACAATCAACGTGTGAAAAAAGCAGTAGAACAAAACCCAGATCGAAGAAATATCTCAGATACTGGATCTTAACATTTCAAAAATATCGAACCATCTCAGTAAAATTGGTAAGATGAAGAAATTCGATAAATGGGTTCCACATGAAATCAGTGATTGTTAAACAGTTCAATATTTTGTAGAGTGTTCGATGCTGCATCTGCGAAATTCGAATGATTGATTTCTTGATGGAATCGTGATTTGGGGTTAGAAACGGATCCTTTATAAGAATCGTAAACGATCAGCTCAATGGGTACATCACGACAAAGAACACAGATATTCCAAAGAGACACTTTACCAACAGAAATTCGACCAGTAGTGTTTAATTGACCAGATCTAATTCTGTTTCATGACAATGCTCGGCTACATGTTGCTTGGATGATACTGCAGAAGCTCACCGATTTGGGATTCAAGAATTTACCAATTCCACCATATTCACCTGGTCTCATACCCACTGACTTCCACTTTTCCAAGAATCGTGACAAGTTTTTAAGGCAAAATATATTCCATTACAAAGAAGATGCAAAAACTGAATTCAAAGATTTCTTGGCGTCTAAGGTTGATAATCCGTTAAAAAAAACCCAAATCAATCAACAATTGGTAAGGTGAAGAAAATCAATAAATGGGTTCCATATAAAGATGGTGAAAGTCAAAGTGTTTGATATTTTGAAGTGTGTTCGATGCTGCATCTGTCAAATTCGAATGATTGATTTCTTGATCGATTCTTGAATTAGGGTTAGAAACGGATCCTTTATAAGAATCGTAAACAATCAGTTCAATGGGTACATCACGACGACACAGATATTCCAAAGAGACACTTTACCAACAGAAGATTATTGGTGACTGTCTTACGGGTCCCACTGGCTTTATCTAGTACATTTTTTCTGTATTTTAACCAGAATATCACTGTCCAAGTTTACTGTCAGCAACTGGGTGAAATGCGAATTCATTTAATCTAAATTCCACCGGCACTGGTCAGTAGACAACGTCCAATTCTGCTTCATGACAATTGTTCGGCCACATTTTTTGCCAGGATGACATAACACTGCTGAAATCAACCGAATTTGGATCCGAGACTCTTTGCCACATCCATACCTATTTTTAAAAAAAGCATCACTAATTCATCAAAATTAAAACCGTCCATTTGATCCTATGATCTAAATATATATGACTAAAACAAAGCTAAACTGAGATTATTGAACTTTTAGCTCTTAGATTAAAAATAAATCGGAATCGAGACATATGCCAAATCGGTGAGGCAAAAAGCAAAACATGAAGCAACAGAAGGAATTTAACTATCTATTAAATAGACAGAATATTGTACGACAAAGAATGCTAGGAATATCAAGGAATATTGAAGGAGATTCGTTTGAATCTTTTACCAATGTTCTCCCAATACTAGGCTCAAGAGCCACTCATGGTAGAGGGTTACTGAATGAAATGTGTGATATGAATGTAAGAAAAGAAATTGGCAAGCGAGGATATCAAGAATAGATAATGATTGGCCCTTGACTTGAAGTGGTGAAGATTGTGTAGTGTTCGAGGGAGCATGCGGGAGACTGTTCCACAATATAGTAGTTCTTGGGAAAAGCTCACTATATAGAACTTCCTCCTTATAAATGGAATATAGATAGAATAAGGTGGTTCGATTCTGTGGGCATAGCAGGACAGGTCTTAGATGTGAAGGCCTGAACAGATGGAACTAAAAAAAAAATGGAGCTCGTCTGAACATTTCCAATAGGCATAGCGACAGACTTAAGACGTTATTGTTTGTGGCAAAAAGATTGCAAAAGGGAAAATCATCCTCCTCATAACCGAGTAAATTATTTTGAAATCTAACAAGGCTGGAAAGTGAGAATCTGTCAGCATCTCCTTAAATGACAGTGATACTCCATTTTTAGTTTAATCCGAGCTTTGTAAAGAGACTAACAGGTATTTCTGTTGTTAACTGGGGCAAGAAATGGCTTGTTAATTTTAACGCCTCTAAAACGATTCTAGAGAGAATCCTTTTTTGTCTTTTATCAGAACAGCTGATGGTAACCTCCAGAAGATTGAGCTTTGCGCCTTCTTCAGACTAATGTTTTCCGTTGATATGAAGTGGAAAGATCATATTGAATCAATTGCTATACCTTTTGCTAGGAAAATTGCTTCCTTGTGTCGTGCTAGACAAATTTTCTCCAGAATCTACCTTACACATTTATAAGTTAACCAGTCATCCAGGCATCGAGTACTGCTTTCGTATCCGGTCTGGTGTTTTTGCAAAGGAGAATCTGCAATATCATCGATCCTGACGTGGCATCTCGGTTCCAGTCACTTTCTAATCGTAGTAATGCAGCTTCCCGATACCTTTTCTCTAAATATTTTCATGATAATTGTACTGATGAGTTTTCTTCTTTAATATCTCGATTCTATGAATTTAAACGCAGTACTAGATTGGCAGCTAGGTCTCATTTTTTTTTACAGATGAATTGACGAGATGTAAGTTATTTGCTAAATCTTCGCGCACCTATCTCTGGCGGTACGCTTTTCCGGTCTCTTACTTTCCCGCCAACTTCGATCTTCAAAAATTACAGTGTCAATCGTTATCTTCTGTTTTCTTAATTTCTGTTCTTTTATTGTTGTCTCTCATTAATAAGGCTTTTCATTTTCTCTTATCCTCTCACACTCAGTAACCCCCCCTTGCGTCTTAGTGGCTTTATTGCCTTGCTTGGAGTGAAGTGATTAAAAAAAGCATGTGACATATTATCAGTTAATCTTCAATGTAAGCCAGCAGATATTACTGGTTTGAATTCAATAATAATAGAAAATGTTTTGCATAGAGTTTGGCAGAGTTGGAAATCCGAAGAAGGTTCCAGATAATCGAAACAACAGCATTACTTAAAACCGCTAGAATACTGAGTCGTGTGTGTGTGTGCTGAAGCAAATTTGTCACTTAATCTTCAATGTTTGCCTATTATTATCATAACACCCAGTCTGATAACGGAATGCCAAGTTAATTACCATTATTATTATTATTATTATTATTATTATTATTATTTATGTATGTTATGTTTCCTGCTTTGTATCCTGTAGATCCGGGCCCAAACTATACTATTTGGACCCTATAGAAGAATTGTCATTTAATTGATAGCACTTTTCTTAGTATATAGAATGTTCCTAGTAGGACGATCTTCTATGCAACTTGTATGAAGATGTTACCTGGGACACTGTTAGTAAAATTGTCCTTTCTTTTTTCTTACGAGGCCCAGTCCTCCGATTACTATTGGTACAGTCTCAGTCTTCATTCCCCACATCCTGTTAATCTCGATCTTCAGGTCCTTATATTTGGATAATTTCTCGATAATTTTCATGGAGTTGTTTCTCTCAGATGGTACTGCTATGTCAATAAGCAGACACTTCCTGAATTTATTCACTTTTTATTGTTATTATTATTGGATGAGACATTATAACGCCAACAAATCCCATTATACTTATATATCTAGAATATTGTATTGAATGCAGAAGCCTAAAGTAGACTTGTTGTCACTTAATCCCCTTCTGTAAACCACCAGTTACTGCTGGTGTAAACACTCAGTAAACGGATTATTTGGGGGTGGGACGAAGTAATAATGTTTACGTCGATTTTTATTAAGTGTTTCTTGAGCTCGTTACCGTACACTTTACCTTGATAAATGAAAATGGTTATTATAGGACTGTTCCGAATTTTTATTTTTTTGAGCTTTTTTTTTATTGTTGTTGTCGCTGTTTTTTTTATTTATTTATTTATTTATTTTATTTTTATTTTCTGACAATTATCGTTTGTAAAATCTGTGATCCCCACGTTCATTAACTGTCAACAGAGGACGATTATTAACTGCCGTCACTGGTCCCTGATCTTCGCCAGATCATCATCATCACCATCATTATCGTCGTCGTAGTCGTCGTCATCATCATCATCATCATCATCATCATCATCATCATCATCATCATCATCACAGTCATTATTACATAACCTCATCTTAATTCATCCCCTCCTCAACCCCCGCTACACTCATCATCACAATGCTAAGCAACAAGATGTCGATAGTAGCAATAACGGAAGCAATAGCAGCAGCAGCCGTAGCTACTGCATTTGCTTTGAGTAGTATCAGTCGTAGCATCAAGTTATAATAATAGTAGTTTTAATAGTAGAAGTCGAAGCAGTATTAGTCGTGGTGATGGCTATGGCGGAGGCGGCGGCGGCAGTGGAGATGGTGGTGGTGGTGGTCGAAGGAACATTGAGTTTGCTGTAACGAAGAAGAGGAGACGAGATTTCAGTGTGTACACGGCTCACATGCGATCAGTTGGCATAATTGTTTGAAAATCCTCTCCCTGGTCGTGTGTATCATCTTTGATCCCCTCCCCCCATATCAAACAACACCCACCCGACCCGATTTGGGGAGCAGGATTTCTTCGTGTTTGGTGCTTCGACCAGCGGACACCTGTCTATGTCCGTCTCTGTATCTAGTTGTCTGTAAGTCTGACCGTCTAAGTCTCTCTCTCTCTCTCTCTCTCTTTCTCTTTCTATCTCCTTCTTTCTATCTCTCTCTCTTTTCTTTCTTTCTTTTTCTATCTATATTTTCTGTCTCCTTTCTTTCTGTATCTCTTTCTCAATCTCTTTCTCTCCTTTTTTTTATCCTTTTCACTCTCTTTCTCTTTCCCTAA